GGTAACTATTTCTGACTAATGAAAAATATTTGTATTTTTTTATTTATCAAGATTACAAAAAACAAAACAAAACCGCACTTCATACTGAAAATATATTTATGGCAAGTGCAGGATAATTTTGAAGCGTGGATCACCTGCATTTCTACATTTTGAATATCTCAGGTGCAGGTGTAGCACAATCAGGATCCTATGAATTACCATCTGTATAAGCCACCGACAGGGGGCGCTGTTGCCTTGTCCAAACATTAGGAAGCGGCGTGTAGTCCTGCCCAGCAGCAGCCAACAGCAGATGACTGAGCGCGTCTCCCGTCACTGCGCTTTCACCTCCACACGGCTGAATGTTTGTTTAATCCGAGCTGAAACTTTTCAGTCGACATTTTTGTCGAGTTGCGGGAGCTTCGTGTGGGATTATTTCATGGCTCGACTTTGAAACCACCACCCCCAAACAAACAAAACAACCACATAAAAAACAAAAACAAAACAAAGGAACAAACCCGGCTTTGGATCCGAGAGGCCAGGTGAGTATCAGTACAGAGATTACATAAATAATCTTTCTTCATTCTGCTGTGTCCACACTGCTGCTGCTTTTAATAAACGCCAGATGGTAGACTGTGACTTCCAGTCCATTAACCTGAGGCAACAACCAGTGTAAACACGAGGTAAGAGTATGGGAAAGAACACTTTGCAGCTTTAAATGGTTGGCAAAATTTATTGTGCAAATACATGGTTGGTAAACAGGTGTTTCAATCAGTAGTTAGGATTCTTTTCTTTCAAGAGGAGACATGAGTGATGTCATGGCGATATTTCTGAGAAAACATGCTGGATAAATCTCTGTGAAGGTCAGCGAATATTTGAGAGATTTACAAGTATGATGGAATATTACACTTCTTGGAAAGCCTACCTGCAGCGGGGCTTTCTTTGAATTTAACAGCGCCAGTATTACAACAGTGTGAAAACACTACAGCATGTTGTGGGAAGTTATCATACTGTAGGTTATCAGGGTCAGAGCGGGGAAACTGATGCTCTTCTTTTTAAACGTAGTTCAGTAAATGTGAATGACGTGCTTTATTAGAGCTGCAGTCTTATAGGAGTAGCAACACTTTAATAATAACTTATAATATCTGATGTTCCAAGCTGTGTATTTCTCAGATGAATGTGCTCAGCTAAAATCTGAATTTATGATGTGAAGTCTCATTCTTAAAGCCTACGCATTGCACAAACTCTTGGACTGGACTTTTAGTAATGTAGATGATAGACTGATTTATGATTTTTTTCCAATGAGGTAGGAGATACATTAAAAAATAACTGTAGAGTTTAGCTTTTATTTAAATGTTAATAAGTGTTTAAGAGTATTTTTAGTACTTACATTTATTTGGTATTAATCCCTTTCTGATTTCTGATCCGTTTACTCCACACAGTATCTGTTTTGTGGATAATATGAAGACCTGCACTAGTCTTTAGTCTTTTTTTCTGAGTTTGAAGACTGCAGAAACAGAGTAGAAGACAACGAATCCAACATCCAACTGTCAGGAAAACAAACATGCCAGCAATGATAAAAGGAAGTTTGAGGCACATAATTCCCATGTATTGAATAATTTGGAACCACTTCTGGATTCCCATCCCCAATTTCTACAGAAAATTGGCAAAACTAGTCTCAGTTTACTAACTGAGCTAGTAATCTATTAACTCTCAGTTAATAGCTTTTTTGTTTGTTTTTGTAGCTAATGAGACAGGTAATGATGATCATTTTAAATACATGTTGATCAAGATTTTTAGTACCGGGAAATCCATCTGCAGTATTCAGCAGTGTTTTAGTGTTAGTCTGTCAGACTTTTTAAATGACTAAAGGGATGCATTTGAAAATTTTGCATTTAGGGGGCATTCAGTTGAATCTTTTTTCGTTGAGCAAATGTTCGGTCCACCCCAAAGGACAGTGCAGCATGCCAAAATCTAATCTAATCTACACATGTTTACTTTCTTTCAGTAGTATGATGACGTTTCTGTGAGCTAATTTTGGTATAGCTGTTATTATTATTGAACCCATGAGCATGTTTGGGGAGAGCATGCAACGTAACTCTGTGTGTCCATGACAAAAGATTTTCATCTTTCAGGAGAATTATCTTGTCATGGCTTCTGGCAGTCCAGCGTGACTCCACCTGAGTGCATTTGTGGTGCTGACGTGGGTATGGTCATGTTGCCTGGTTACCCCACACTTACTGGTGCAGACCTTAGCGTGGTTTAATCTCGTGAGAAGGTCCCCCCTGCCCCCCTTCTATCCCTTGACTCAAATTCCACGCTCAGCCTCTGGGGAACTCGTCTGTGCGTCACAGCTCTGGTCACAAAGACCTTTAGAGAGAAGTTCCAGTCAACACAGCACAGTCGCCGCCGGCACCCTCGAGCTGTTAGTCCACAGCAATATGTGAAAAATGTCCTCCTGCTTTGACATATGTCAGAGCTCTCTTAGCCTCCTCACTGGAGCGTGTCGCAGTGATGAAGGTATTATAACCTCAACGAGGAGAGTATGTCACACGTAAGAGGGCTGCTTAGTGCACAAGGCATTAACTGCTTATCAGCAAGTGATGAAAGGCTTTCACAATTAGCTTTCAATGACTTTACCTCTCAAATACTTTCCATTTTTAAACCGATAGTTAGTTACATGCACCCTGTAATCACAGTGTTGACTCTCTCTCTGTCTTCAAACAAGATGCAGCATTTCTGAAAACTGTGATGGCCACCAGGCAGTGTACTGTTCTATTTAAAGTTATTAGATTAGAGAAGGGCTTTTGTGATTAATATTGTAATATTCTGACCTTCTACAATAAAACCAGTGTAGCTCTTAATCAGTTAATCAAAATCAGACCGTTGTTCACACAGCAGCTGTTTCCTCCAGATGTCATGGAGACAGAAGCATGTACATTTAACAGATATTTTAATGCAGGGAACTAGTCAGCTACAAGTTAATTGATGCAGGTATTCATCACGCAGCAATTCATAAAGGTTCTGTAAGTGTAAGGATTCCCTTTTTTTCCTGTTTAAACCTTTATAAAAATACTTCTTATAGGATTTATGTCAATATTCGGATAAATAAATGAACAAAGATGTCACTTGGGATTGTGTATTCTTTTACTATTTGTGTACTTGGAAAGCAATTTTGAAATGAGCGCCCTATAATGTAACATTTCAGACTGAAACGCATGCACAACATTTAGGTGGTTTGATTGAACAAGATGATTGTGTAGTCAAATAAACTCTCTGTATATTTGACTATAACTGCTGTGCCGCTTCAGTTCATTTATCTGTCTATAAACCATAGATGGTATGTAGAAGATGGATGTAGCCACCATGACATCATCTGTTTTCGGGATTCCACATGTTGAAACCTCAGCCCTGGCTTTTTTCTTTGTTGGATTGGCCCTGGAGGTTGTTGTTTTATCCAAACCAACTCACGCTCTCGTCTCTTACTTTCACCTTACTTGTTGGCTTTCTTGTTGCTCCCAATATTAGCATCTTAGAACATTGCGTGTTGAAATTTTATTACTTCTGCGTTCTCATCAAAGATTCCTTTAATATTCCAAATTATTTCCACCGAACATCTGCTGTAAACTCCTTTAGCGGGAGCAGAAATTGCAGCCTCGTTGTTGTTGTTTTTCCCATCCTTGTGGCAGGATTAACATCTCATCTGCCGCATCTCCCCCTGACCCGCAGAGCAACACACAGACCCTGTGTGACAGTAGCCAGGTTACTTGTTAGTGTCACCCTGTGTCTGATCTCAGTGACATTTTGGGACTTGTCATATTGCCGCAGTGGGTTATTTATAGACACGTGCTTCGTTGTGCAGTTCTACATGATGTACAGCTCAACTGACAATTGCATAAACCAACTCCAGGACTGTGTGTGTGCTTTGATTTGATATTGAACATGTATAACTACTGTAAATGATGACTAAATAACAGTTACACATTTAAAGTGAATCCAAGTTAATTTGTGCTTTTGAATAAATGGTACCTTCAGTATGAATGTTTGTCCCCAAAAACACTATATGTGAAATTAATTAAAAGAAAAACATGAATGAATGAAATCACTCATAAACACAGTGAAAAAGCATTACACCAATCTCGGCATGTGAGTGCTACCAGAGAGAAGTGTCACTTGAGATAGATGCTGTGCAAAAACCTTTTATGTTGTATTTAATTGTTCCATTTGTTTCAGTTAAGAATATTATTTATATGTTAATGCTTATATACCAACTCTTCCGAGTATTGCTCAGGCTTGAAGAACGTGTATGATGAATTTACTACTGTGGAAAGAAAATAATAAACAGTGGAAAGTACTAAAAATATTTGAGGATATCTGTTCCTTACTTTAAACCACCAAGTCCTGCCTCCTCTCTGTTGTTGGGACAAACTGCCCAGACACACAAAGTTCTCTGACTAAAGGACTGGCCATCTAACTGGTCTCACTGGAATGTGGTAATGAATGCAAGTAGAGCAGTGGGTTGGGTATACCCCACCCACCACTGCTTCACATTTTGTCCTAAATGATGTGGAAACTAGTGTCAGAGGGCTAGCATTCATTAATTACACCGTGGGAGCTGGCAGCTCTTTGTTTGGCCTCATCTGGAAGAAATGGTAAACATGAATCCACGATTGGCTAATTTTTGAAAAATAATATTTTCTTTGCTTTTTCTTTCCAGATTTATGCTGCCCACTCAGACAGAAACACCAAGTACATGCTCCCTGAGAACATTTCGCACACAGGTCTGTGTCCTTGTTTTCATGCTGCCTCTCATCTTTAAAACAACTATTGCCACCAGCCATTTCTGTAATTGCAAGGTGGCTCAGGTTGCAAACATTGTTTCACCAGCCTATTCATTATTAATTAGGCACAGCCTGTTTGAGTATTTCATATCTTCAGACTTAAAGAGCATCTGTGAGGTGCTGCCCTCTTGTGTTTAGAACGAGTCTACACTATATCTTCTTATATTCTTAAATCATAGTGGATTGCTCTTTAGGATTATGACTTGGGTCCTACATTTACAAAAAGGCATCACAGGTGTGGAATTTATAAGATACAAATACGTGCTACTGATTGCATTACTGGTAATGTATGCTTCAAACACAGTGAAACATAACATTTATAATTTGTTTCACTTAACTGTATGCAATTGGATCTTACTCACCCCTGCCCCTGTTTTCAAGCATCCAACTTTATACTTGATAACCCCTTTAATATGAATTTACTGTGAGGGCCTTAAATGACCTATTTTCTGAGTGGTTCTTCATTTAATATTAGAGGGGGAAAAAATGTGAAACATTACTAGATTCAGGCCAGAAAGAAGAAAGGAAGAAAAGCCTGTACACGTTTTGGCTCCAAATGATATCAGTACTTTAAACATTTCTACAAAATCATGATTTAGAGCCAAAGAATCTCCTCTAACTAGAAATAGAAGCTGTTTTGATAGCATTAATGAATGAATTTCTCTAAATAATTACCTATGATTAGGTGCATTGGATACTTACTTGAACGAATGTTTGTTATTTTCTTGGTCAGGAAAATATGCACCTAAATATAATAAAAAATATCTTGGCTAATAACTTAGTTAAAAGTATATTACACATAATAAAAGTCTCAGGTTTGCCAATTGATACACATGTACTAATAAGGAAACAATCTGTTCTTTGTTCCTTGTATCTGTTTTAATTAAGAGATCTGCTGCTAACACAATATCAATCTAAGAAATGAAAGAAAAAAAGCTAGTTTCAGATTAGTTTCTCTGTGGATACCTTCTTACAGACAGTTGTATGACTCATTTCTACAAATTTCCCCCACATGGTGGCAGTATTTTACAGTCTATAGGTTTGTCCTTTTGCTAGGCGTGAGATAACCCTTTCATCACTACAGCATAATGAAGGCCAGTTAAATTAATAACTGATGTAGAAACCGCTTTGTTTCTCCTTTTATGTTACGCTTATGCCATTGAAACACTGAGAAGCTGAAATGTCCCACACTGGGACCTCCATAAGCATGCACATCTGCTCATTTTTTGCAGCTGTGTTGGGACTTTTGTGTGTGAATACTCATGTGTTGTGCAGAGTGACCCTGTTAAGAACTTTGCATTTGTTAATAACGTAGGTCTTTTACATGTTTGTGTGGGGGCACAACACAAACCTTTTGTCTTTATAGGAACCTGTGGGTGTATAGTGAAATTTATGGTGTGTGTAATGTAAATTACCATGCAATCTGTGGGGGCAGCCCCTCAGGAAATAAAAGCTTTAAATCAGTTGTAGGTCCAAAGTAAGTACTTTGAAAAATATGCATTCACCTGAATTTAAATCAAACAGCAAGTGAAAAAAGGTGACCCAGTCTACATGCAGGTGTTAAACAAAGGCTCTTTTTGCCTGTGTGCAGGTGTGTTATTAATTGGCTGCAGGGCCTCTGTCTATAGTCTTTCCACTGTGCTAACAGAAACCTTGTGGGCCAATGTCTTGCATTTGGTGGGACTATCTGTGTTCCTCATTAACTGCTTCAATTTCTAACACCTTTTTTTCTTACTGAGCAGGTTTAATGTGAGATCTTAACTGAACACAGCAGTTTACTGTGCAAGCGTCAGGATGCATGAAAATTGGGGCTTGGCGTTTTTTGATTGACAGTGTGTGTGTTTTTATGTGTGTAGGAGGTTTTTTCACATTTACTTAATTATTTCTGCACCCACGGGAGATCCCAGGCCTCTTCAGTCATGTCCTCCATCCTGTTTCGTAAGCGCCTGCTCATATATGGGCATCTTCCTTCCTTCTCCTCTGTTGCACTGTGTCTACTTCCTGAACAACAACCCCACCCCTCCCTTCGAATTTCCCTCTCACCCCACAATCACTTACTGTACACGCAAACATGCACGCACACTCCTACTCATGCCGGTTAGCAATGGGCTGAGGCAGGAGTGGCCGGCCCCTCTGCAGGAAGTAGTTTGCTCACCAGTTCTCATGCCGGGTAGCACTTATTTTGTACTTTGCTTTGCAAAGTTTTTTTTCCTCTCATGTCACACATTCCATGCTTCAAGTTGTTTCTTGGAAAACGTATTTGAAGTATTTTTCATCTGGACTTTCTTTTGCACTGGTCCCGTGTTCCCAGAAACGGCAGTGTACACAGTATTTCCTGTAAAAATAAATCATATTCTAACAGAGATTTAAGTTCTAGTGTTATTTATGTACCTCTAACATGGACTGGCGTTCACTGGGTGGCCTTTGATTGCCCCGAAGGCTTGCAGATGCCACTTGAGATTAGCTCTCCTATCTGCAGAACTATAATGTAGACACATGTTGGCTTTGAAGTAGGACAAACAGATTCATCAATTTTTGCTAGTCAAAGAACATAAAGTCTCAGAAGTGTGCAGCTGGGGCTACTTCAGCTACTGATTCTACTTGCTCCTTGTTTACCTGTAAAACCCTTTTCAGTGGGAACCATATGCATTAGACCAATACTATAAATCTACTATGTAGTTTATTGTTAGCACAGGAACCTTCTCCATGGCATGCTTTGTGAGAATAAAACAGAACATCCAGTCTACCCATCATTATGTAGACATAAAGCCACAAATGAATTATTGCTACAGTTTCAGATGTGTAATTACAATGCCGCCCTCTTGTTGCTCCCGATGAAATATCAGCTTAGTCAACAACTAGGTCACTGCATATCCAGTTTCCATCAATAGAATTTTCATACAACTGCCAGCTTCTCTGTCTGTGAAGGTAATTGCAAGTATTACTTGTATGCATTCCTTATAATCTCCAGGGATGGCAAGGTACTTTCTAAGTTTAGATTGAAATATCTCAGCAATTATTGAGTGGACTGGCTGACATGAAGCTTTGCGCACGCATGCATGGTTCAAGAACTGAATACATTATCCAGTCTGCAACAACCGATAGTTGTTTTCTAAAGATGAACTGAAAGATGATCCACTGCCATTTCCTTATAGAAAAATAATTGTAAATAATGGTTAACATGGTAAACATGATCCGTTTCAACATTAGAACATTAGCATTATGTGGGTAGGTTAGCAAGATTTTTGTAATTACCCCAGTTGCGGACTGTGTACATCCTCATGGAGGTACTAACACAGCAATAGGCAGTTAAGCTGTGTCCACACAGGAAGCGTTCAGTTGTCCCTGTACTGCATATCTGATGATGTAGTAATGATCTCCATTAATCAATGCATGCAGCTGTCTACACAGGCTCCATGCATTGTTTAGCTCCATTTCTATCCTTGGTACACATAAATGCAACTAAAGGCATATTTTTATCCTGCAAACCTGTGTTCCTGTTTTTTTTGTTTTTTGTTTTTTGAGCATGCAACTATAGTACCTGTCCACTCCAGCTATAATTCACACAAAGCATGGGTGACTTTCCCATGTAGAGACAAAGCAGCAGCTGCTTGTTTTCATACGTATCTGTCATTGTACATGCTATTGTATAGAAGGTATTAGAAAGTGCTTCTGCATAGCAACAAATGTGCCCTGTTTAAAAAAAACCCAACCCTCTAATCATGGTTTCAGGGCCCTGACAATAAACAGTACACACAGGCTGCTTTATCTGTTCGTGTGCTGTGGTGTCCACTTTGAGACGCTCCTGTGCCACATGTCTGCCAGACGAGAATTCCAGCCACCCTGATCTTTGCTGCGGAAGCCGTTCAGGGAGTGTTGGCGTCCAGTTAACAAACATAAGGGTTTGGCAGTTAAGAGAGGGAGGCCAAGCAGCCGTCGGGATGTCATCCTGCCCAGAAACTCTGCCTAGCCACTGGTTACATGCCTGGGATTCTTTTGTACAAGCTGCTCTTTCCTGCTTTGATTTTTTTTTTTCCTAAAACATTTTCCTCCACCAGACAGTGGCACAGCCAAATATTTTCCAGTCCAGAAATAAGTTGCTTTTAATTGCATTGCCTTACAAGTATACACTCGGTGGTCTGTGCTGCTGTAAAAATGTGCCTTTGATTGACATTCATTAGAGATGAAACAGGGTGGTATGCAGCTCAGCACTGCAGCCACGTTCCATTGCTGTTGCACTGTTCTCAAAACAAACCGCTCCAACTGGTGCGCACATACTTTCCCTGTGAGATCCTGGTCGGTGCTTTGAATGAATGCAGCATTATAATACTCCAAAATGCATGACTGAAAAAGGCTCAGCCACCATCTGATCTCTCTGCACTGGACTGGGTTTGACTATCATATCGTGTAGGTCATCTAGACAGACTGAGGTAATCTTTTGGGAAGTTAAATTGCTTATTTTGGATAATAAGCAGGTCGCTATTGCATGAAACTACAGATTTCTGCACTTTTGAAATCGCAGACCTGTCTAGGTCTTTGTAACCCAATGACAGCATAAATGCTCTTACTGATGTAAATGCTTAATTGCCAAGAGATTATATATTCAAAAGTGCTCTGTTTAGCTTTCATTGTTAAAATCGAAGCAGCTGTGATTCACTTCTCAACAGTGACACAGCAGGTCAGAACATGTGGCAGACAAACTGACATTGAAGCTTTGAAGTTGCTGAAGATGCTGAGAGTGAAATGCAAGTCAGTAATGAAATTATTCAAATTTGGTGTTCAAAAGTTGCTTTAACCTTACTAAATGTATGAAGAGTGAAAAAAGAAAGAACAAAGTGATAAAGTAATTAATTTTTAAATGCAAAAGGTCAACCTCACTTTATAATATTCTGCAAAAATGATTTTCTGTCCGTTGCGCATTGTTTAGGAACTAGAGGGGA